CAGACCAGGAAGTTACAGGAAGAGAACACAGGTGGGATTTTTCTAAGTACCGTTTAACAAGTTTAACAAAAGAAGCTGGTAACATTAAGTAGAACCACTAACAAAAACTTGATTTTAGTAAACATTCTCTTTTTACAGCAATTTCCCAGTATCTTTACATATCAATTAGTAACCTGTCTGTCTTTGAGCCAGCAACCTTGCTGTGTTACAATTCTTTTTCTTACACCAGAGACTTTATATCCTGGGGAAAATGTCCTCTCCTTTGCAAGGTCAATATTTGAAACTACAAGGCTTTGGAAAACCAGGCCCTGCGAAGTACATTTGCTTTATGCATACTCTACACTATGGTGTATGGAACCTTCATGTTTGTTGGAAATAGAGATGCACACTGAAAAGTCTTCTGAATGGATGTGGTTGTGATGGTCAGAGAAAAGCTCCTGCCCTAGGAACAAGATCTCTTTAACTAAAGCACCTCAGAGCTGCCATCCACAGACATTGTGAAACTGTGGATTGTGTCTGGGATCTTATGAGGATGTAGTGGAGCACATCTTCATCCCTCTTCACTGTGTGACCCTGAGGATGTGGCCTTACCTCTATGTGCTACTGTCTGAAAAGACGTGAATTGTGGATTGTGATGACAACTTTATGTGTAAACTCTGTAGCAGGACGTCTGCATTGCTGGATTTTCTCATCACTGATATTTGTGCTGTTACCCTCCCTGGGAACCAGAAAGAACCTCTGACAGCCCTCACCTCTGAGTGCACAAGGATTATCTGCTCTGGTCCTGATCTGACGGGTCACACCTGCTGACATAGGGCCGGTCAGTCATCATGCTCGACACAGCATATTCACACATCCATTGACCAATTAGATCCTCCTGTATTTCCTTTATTCAATTACATAAAAAAGTCTTGAGTATGGAGTATTGAAACTTACCTATTCAAAATTTGTTTAGTGAATTAAATAATATCCAGAAATCTAGGTAACAGGAGAGTCACCAGAATTTGGGTGGTTATAACAGCAGGTAAAACCTGGTCACTCTTGTTAGTACACGGATAAGTGGGCTGACCTGTTGTGGACAACAGAGGGAAAGAAATGGAACCCTGTGTTCAGAACCAGGTGAGCTCATTACTCACCAGGGGGTCTCTGTTAAATAGATGCAGAAGGAACTGTCCTTATCTTCAGGGAAACTATGAACTTAAAGGGAAATTAATGTAAATTCATATTTAGAGATTAAAATGTGACAAGTGTGCATATATTTAGGTGGGTGTGAATAGGTTGCTAGTGTGTGCTCATTCCCAGAAAAGAAGTAATTAGATCTGCTGGGAAGGAAAAAGATTGTGACATTTGTAGATATTATCAATGACAAATAAATAAAGACTCTAGATTATGTTTTAATGTATAAAAATAACCTGTACATTAATTTCCAGAATAGCTGTTTCATTCTGCATTTTCTCTAGCAATATTTGTGGCTCTAGGTTCCTGGCATAGTCACCAACACTGGTATTCTCAGTCTTTTTTTCTTTTCTATTGGTTCTTTTTTTCCTTTTTCTAAAATAAGTATTTTTTAATTACATGAAGGAAAGCTACAGGGTTTCTGTATGTGTGTGTATATATACATATGTCATATTAGTTTTCATACTGCAAATATAAAACTTCTGTTATAGAATCATTGCTTTTTTCATTTTTTTTGTTTAATTGTCTAGCAGACAATTCTTACACATCCCTCAGCCTTTCCTTTAAGTTAGTGTGCATTTGTTTTCACAAACTAATTTATTTTTTTATAAACTTCTTTAAGAGAAGCTTTGGTCAAGAATGGAATGAAATTGCAAGAATAAACAAACAAACAAACAAACAAAAATAAAATATCAAACAAAACCAAAACAAAAATCACTGCTACTTTTATAAAATGAACACCTTCAAAACTTATGTCCATACAAAACCACACAATATTTTCACTGCACATGTTTCCATGTTTCCCTGTGACTGGCGTTCCTCACCATCTTGCAAACACGGAGCTGCCATCAGCTACCGTCTTTATGCTGCATTGTGGAGGCCCCCTCAGCCTCACACCATTTAGCAGCCCTGGATAGAAAAACCTAAGGTCTAGAAATTCCAATTCTCATGGCTCCATCAATTCCAGTGGTGAAAAATTTGTGACAATCTTGCTCATCCACCTTATAAATAGACACCTGGGTGATGCTGTTCTGCTTCAGAGTCTCCAGGATGAACTGTGGTCCTCAGTGGTCACCCTCTGGTCCATGTTGGCAGAATCGTTTCATGCATACGTGTCACACTGGATGCTCTGTTTTGGAATGTGTAGCTTGAAACCAAAGGTCAAGCAGCCAAGGTCATCCTAGTTTAAAAGGATCTGGCAGCAGTCCTGGCCTGCAGCTACAACACTATTCTCTGAGACAAATGACAGACTCCGGAGTGGCAGGAACTCTGCTTTCAGAGTTGAGATCTGTGCACTTTCTGAGGCATCAGCAATGGACACGATGCTGTCATGGCTGACCCAGGCCAAGCAGCTCCAATAGGAGACTCAGCTGACCCCATGGAACTGGCCATCAGTGCCGCTGCCACCAAATTCTGACATCAGCTGACCAAAAAGCTTCCTGCTGCCCCAGGGTGTACTGGCTGGCATTTCTTCCACGTCTTTAATGCAAGCAGAAAACACTCTGCATTTGAAGTCACATGATCCTGCTACCAGCAAACATTATCGGGCTGCTAGTCCAAGACGAGGACTGAGGAGACAGTTGGCTTTTTAATGTGCTTGCTTACCCACCAGTCATTTTCAGCCTACAAACAGCAAACAGAAATGAGTTGTCTTCTGCTTCCCACAGCAAATTTCTTCTCTAGAAGATACCACTTCACAAAAGCGTCTGTGCTACTAATTCTCAGGATCACTAGGGTTGGCTTCCAGACACCGTCTTTCTGAATCCAAATACAGACATTTCAGTCTGCCTGGTAAGTGAGGATGCGGTCGCTCTTGGGAGCCCAGTCAGAGCCTGTGATGTGTCTGTTGTGCTGCTTGAGTTCAGGAGCTTTGACTCTCCGGCTCCTGTTCTTACATATTTGCACCTTATGATTATTGGGGCTGTGGGCAACCTTTATATGATCCCTGTTCCAGGCATGACAGCTGATTAGCTCTAGTAAAAATTAATACAGGGACATTATTCTAGTGTTTTCAAAGGATAGAAAGCTGGGGTCAGTGCCAGTCCAGCCGGCTGGGAGCAGAGAATTTGCAGAATCTGATTAGTTGTTGGGGACAGGCTCTGGTAGATGAGAGCAGAAGACTGAAGACCAAGGACCCAGGACCAGAGAGCAAAATTGCTTTGGAATTTGCTTTTGTACTTTGGAATGAATAAAAATTAAAGAGGAATAGTTCACAAATTTAATGTTTCTTCAAAAAGTTCATGAAAAAAATTATATTAAGAAAAACTATGCAGATTGAATTTTCCCCCCTCCAAAATGAATGTGCAATATCTGTTTTATCTTAGCACAAATTTTTGAAGTATTTTATTTTTAATTGTATATTTTATGGGGTACAGTTTGTTGTTCCAGGACATGTATATGTTGTATTATTATCCAGTCATAACAGAGTATTTATCACCTAAACATTTGTTAATTCTTTGTCGTTATAAAGTTCAAGATTCTCTTTTGTGACTATATTGAACTGTACAATACAGTATTTCCTTTGAATTAGAGCCATTCTAAAAAGATTATACTTTTACCTCATTGGGGTCTTCATGTGAATATCTCTACTGGACATAATGTTGAGTATCTGTTTATATGCTTATTTATAATCTCCATAGTCTGTTTGCTAACATGTCTGTGTGAATCTGTGACTATCTCATGAATAAATCATTTATTTATTTATTTATTAAAGTTGCTGTTTAGTTTTGAGGATTTTATTAAATTTTTCATATGAGCAAATTTTGGTTGTTTGATTTACAAATATTTCACCTAGTAAGATGTTTTTTGTTCATTTTCTTAATAGTCACATGACTGAAAAATGGTTTAAAATTATGAAGATAAATTTATATATATATATTTCATTGATAATGGGTTTTTTCATTATTGTTGTTTGGGTGTTGGTTTACTGTGTTTCACCATCTACCTGGAAGCTGTACTTTTCCTTGCGTCTCATAGCACTGACCTGCTCACTCTATAATCTTGGCTAACTCAGTGGTGTTTGCTTGTTTGTTTGTCTCTGGGGATCATTTTCATGGGATGGTTCTTCTAACTCTGTTTCATTATCAAACTCAAGAGAGATGTGCTGCACTTTTATTTTTTCTTTTTCCTGAAGTGCTTATTAGATTTAATGAGATTTCTTTCAGAGTCCGGCTACAGCATTTTCCATTCCAAATGTCAGGCCTCCTACTTATCTTGGGCTCCTACTTAACTCTTGGAAACATGCTTTATGAGGCATGGCTTCTATATGAAATCCTTGAAAACTTATTTATGCACTGCCACTGTAGAACATTTGATAACAATGGCACATTCTTTCATTTTTATTATTTTACAGTTATGCTATTTTTGTATCTTTGGATTGTATTATTTCTTTCTTTTTTTTTTTTTACAAGAAAAGCTGGCATCTGTATTTCTGTAACTCCACATTTTCTCACTTTATAATTCTTGCCTAACTTCATATCTAGCAGTTTTTTAAAGGAAAATGCAGTTATTTGTATTCTTCCAATTAGAGTGGCATGACTCCATGAAACAGGTTGCATGACATCGGCGATCTATTCAGCCTAGGGGACAGGAACCTTTCATACTGACTCTTCATAAAACAGATTACAGAGTTTCTCTTTTATGAACAACTAATAGGAGATGCTTAATTTATACTTAAACAAGGAATAAAAAAGACAGGGGTCTGAATGTTCTTGTGGGAGAGGAAACCCCAGAGCCTGACAGGAAGTGGCCTGTCTGTCACATGTTCCTGTTCTGCAGAGGAGGAGGCAGCACACTGGGATCCAGCCTGAGTTCTTGCACAGGAGTCACGCCGGACTGTGTCTCTGTGCTCTCTGTGCACAGTAATATGTGGCTGTGTCTGCAGGGTCCATGCTGGTCATTGTTAGGACCACCTGGTTTTTGGAGGTGTCCTTGGAGATTGTGAGCCGGTTCTTCAGGGATGGGCTGTAGTATTTATCATCTTCCCAATCAATGAGTGCCAGCCACTCCAGTGCCTTCCCTGTGGGCTGACGGATCCAGCCCACACCCATACCAGACATGCTCAGTGAGAACCCAGAGAAGGTGCAGGTCAGCGTGAGCGTCTGGGTGGGTTTCACTAGCCTAGGACCAGACTCCTTCATGGTGACCTGGGACAGGACCCCTGTGGAGAAAGCACAAGAAGAAGGTTAAACTGGTTTAGAGTGAGAAGAAATAATTTGTTTATTCCTGTGGGAGTCCCTGACTGGAGCACTCACAGGAAGGGACAGTCAGCAGCAGGAGAATGGAACACAGCGTGTCCATGGTGGGCACAGGAGTCACTGACACAGGCACCCTGCTCAGCTTTTTATCACAGGAGAGGGTTGGGCTGCTGGAGATTTGCATTCCCTACCCCAGGTCTTGACATATATGGGGTCAACTCAGGTGTCAGGACTCAGTAGGAAAGTCTGTTTTGGATGAGAAGCACTGAGCCCTCAGGTGTCTGCTCTTCACAGGGGACACCTGCCATTTTCAGGACAATGGTTTTAGAACACAAAGTTTTCAGAAGGGTTTTGTTTTGGTATTTAGTCAGGGCTGTGATTCTCTCATTCATGCAGGGGCCATTACCTTCATGTTTTCTGTCCTAGACAAATAGAGCAGAGAACAAAAACAGTGGTGTTTTTCCATATTCAAGATACAGAGGGACGTATTTCTGTAAGAGAGCAGGGGGCTATTCCACAGTGTTCTGCTCAAGCTACTGTTTGATTTTAGATGAGAGGGGTGAGTTTGTTAAATAAGAGATGATAAATAGGTAAACATTTACACTTATGGGGTAAACAAGAGCATGCTCTTCAGTGTGTCTGCACAAGAGTGTGCATTCCTATAGGATTAGTTCATAGATAACCAACCTTGTGTCTGCACAAGTGTGTGCATCCCTATAGGAATAGTCCACGGATGACTACCTTTTGCATTCATCCAGCCAGTGTTGTAGCGACAGAGATCTGCACTTCTGTCTCCCTCTTTATCAGCCTGCAACCAAGTGGAGGTGTTTGGAGTTGGGGTGGACTCTCATGGAACACCTGTCTGACAATGAGTATTGCTAAAGCTTTGCTGTGCACCTGCACCAGAGATCTTAGTTGTGCTTTTGTTTTTTGGGAGTTGGGGAGCATTAACCTTTACTTTCCTCTCACTGAGAAACATGGATAAATGAAAATTTTAAAGTCCACAGTTCAAGGAAAATGTACTATTCTTTTAAAAATATGTTTATAATCTTTGTCTTCTAAATTTTATCTCTTACATTATTATTATTATTATTATTATTATTATTTTATTATTGAAGCATATGTGATGCTCAAATCAGGGTAATTAGTGTATTCAATATGACACAATGTAATCGTTCTTTGTGGCCTTTGACCAGTTTCTTGCTAACCCTCTTCCATCTCCCCCTTTTCCACCTCTGGTGGCCTCACTTCTGTTCCCTCTTTTTGAAAGTTCAATGAATTATTTTGATTGTCATGTCTTTCTTTCATCATTTTTTAATTTATATGTTTATTCTTTAGCTCCCACTTTTGAAGAGGACATGTGGTATTTCTCTTTCTGTGCTGGCTTATTACACATAACATAGTTTTCTCTAGGTTTATCCATGTTGCTGTGAATAGCAGGATTTTGTTATTTTACCTGTGCTTTTGGTCTTAGAGACTTTCTTTTTTCCAGATTGTTCTCATTAATAAATACAGTGCATAAACTGGTCATTTATAGAGCGATACAGTGCTGTATATGCACCTTCATGCTGGCTGTTTTGAGTACATAAATTTGGGGAAATTTATCACTTTGCACTGCTGCTATGAAGTCTGGCCATTTCTATTATTCTAGTGTTGAAGGGAAACCATTCTCTACAAAAATTAAAATCTTGTGCTTTACAATTGGCTCTATTGCTGAGAGTTTTGTTTTTCCACAAGAGAAACATGACAAAGAGGCAGTGAGATTAGCTTCTTGAATGTCAACAGTGCTTTCTGAGGAGGAGAGAAGATCACAAGAAGCCTGTTGAAGAGCAGAGAGCGGCATTCAAGTCATAGTCTATATTCCCTGGGCTTTTTAACACTGCCTCCGAGACATCAAATTATGCTGACCTGTGTACCTTTTAGATGAAATTGAAGTTTCAGAATCTTAGAAAGAATAAGATTGGCCCAAACGTGGTTACACACTCAGTTATGACAGGAAATGGATTGAGTTAAGGAACTTCCCTTCACTAAATGAGGTGATTAGGTGTAACTGGGTGAATTTTAAAATAAAGCAATTTGATATTACCCACAGATAAAGGGATGGTGAGTGTCAAGTACTGGTGTAATCATGCAAGTAAGCTGGACACCCCAGGAAGTTTCCATGCACGAGACTCACACAGAGTACATGTGAAGACTCACACGTGAACATTTTTTCATATCAGCAGTTTAAATAATGCTTCCTCCAAGAAAATGTAGCAAACTCATATGCAAAACAACACAAACACGACAATCTGCACACTTCAGGCTCTTCCACAACTGGAAATACATACTTAGTTATTGAGAATAAATGGAAGTCCACAGATAAGTTCATGCCCTTATTCTCTGATCCGTGAATGTGGTTAATTTCAGCTGCACTTGTACTTCAACGTGGACAGCTTTTATTACTTTTTCTTGCTGAATTGCTCTGGTCACAATTTATATGTTAAGTAAAAGTGGTGAGAGTGGACATCCTGCTTGTTACAAATCTCAGAACATAAATTCATTCTTTCATCACCGAGCATGATATTAGCTGTGGGCTTAACATATATTCTGAATGTATTGACTATTTTGTGGGGGGAAAATATTGTTTTCAGGAAATGGCATTGGGAAAACTGAATATTTACATGTGAAAAATAAAGTTGAACCCTTATTTTACACCATATTTAAAAATTAACCCAAAATAAATTAAAAACTTAAATGTAAAAGCTAAAACCATAAAACTACTAGAAGAAAACTTAGGGGGTTATCATCATGATAATAGATTTAGCAATAATTTCTTAAATATGACACTAAATACAAGGATAGACAAATACAGCAATTTCAGACAAAACCTGTGCATTGAAGGGAACAATTAACAGAGTGAAAAGAAAACATTTGGTGCATGCGTGTGTTTACGTGTGTGCTGCTCATGTGCTATGAGAACAACATTTAGAGTTTTTCACAATTTATTGTAGATTTATTCATTCTTTGGCATATTTTGTTTCTCTTCATTGAAATATTCAATACGGTATTTTATTTAAAGTTTTTTTCAATAGCTGTACATTTCCTCTAGAAGAATTTTGTAAATACATGCATCCTCTGTTACCATCATGGTCACTTGCAGTGCTTTCAGAGCATCAGATCCCAGAAATTCTGCTGGTTTCCACAGACTGCTCCTCATGTCCCAGCACCCATTTGATATGATCTGACTCATCAAGTATATAGAGAACCACTAATTCTGGAGCTTTCAGTGACACATGCTGCAGCACTCAATGTCACATGTCCCATGGTGTTGCACAAACTGATTCCTGCAGGGCAGCTGGGTTCTTCCTGAAGGTGGGTGTGGGGTTCACTCTGTTTGGAGGACTGTGATGACAGTTCTTTCTGGAATCAAAGTGGAGTTTGGAGATGGTGGATAGAGATCCATTGGTCCTGAGTGTAATCAATACCTTCAGCCGATGAAGGACCCAGCTGATCTTCCAGAATTTATAAAAGGATAGGACACAAGGAACAATCAAACACTGGTGAGAAGCTCTGTGTAGACCTCTGAGAGGCAAACAAAGGTGTAAATGTCACTAAAATCAATCTATAATAAACTCCTGCCATTCAGATGAGTTATGTATTAGCAAAAAGTTTGGAAAACAAGATATGAATGACATAAAGGTATAATTTGTTGTCATTGGGAAGATTTTTCAGCACTTGAAACATTTTTTTTTAATTAAGAACTGCTATGAGGAAACCGAAAAGCTTTGTTTCTTATTAATGTCATGCCAGTGTTAGTTATTAAATAAATTCACCTAGAAAGAGTCATGCTTACAAATACACTAAAGTACACATTATAGACACACACAAAATAACACATACTGACATGCATAAAATAACATCCACTAATTGAATCTTAAACACACACTCACACATTAACACCCACACATTAAAACCCAAAATTTGAACGCACAGTATAGTGCACCCGTGCGTGCACACGCAAACACACACAAACACACTAATGCACACATCGACCAACACACAAGCAAAAAAACACATATAATAACAAAAAATAGAGCAAAACATGCACATACAAATACAAGAATGGCAGTAAAAAAAAACCGGGGGGGGGGCGGGGAAGAAGATATAACAACTATACTTTCATGAAGTCACTACAACAAGCAAACGGAAAAGACATTCTTGGGGGGGAGGGGAGAGAGGGAGGAGGGAGGGAGGTGTCGGTGATGGGCCATAATAATCATATACAGTGTATATTGACAAAATAAAAATTAAAAAAAAAAAACAAATACAAGAATGACCTGCCTGTTGGGAAAAAAATTTTTTTTCATGAATAGAAAATACTAGACTGATTTGAAAAATCGCCTCTAGCCTCTTTCCTCACCTGGTCACCATGTTAAGCAGCAGTGCAATACTGAGGGTCCAAGTTGATTCTGATTGAGGATATGCTTCCGCAGCCATGCCCTGAACTGTGTGCAGACAGGGCTCCTCCTGCTGAGGAAGACACCCCCACAAAACGTGTTCCTCATTGGGCAGGTACCTGTGTGAGTAGCACCGAGACCACCTGACTTATTTGTTGTTCTATCAGTGTCTGTGATGCTGAGCAGGTACTTTGACCCCATCTGGCTTCATTGGGCACCAGCAGAGCCCATTGGGACCTCTTAGAGTGACCACTGCCAGCAGAGCCCATTGGGACCTCCCAGCAGAGCCCATTGGGACCTCTTAGAGTGACCACTGGCTGCTGTACATGAGTGACCAGCAGGACACAGAGAGATTTGTGGCATCTCCTGGGCACTCCTGAGCTTCTTTCTCCAGCCCCTGTCCAGGACCTAAGCTCCAAATGTGCACAATGGAAAGACTCCTGGTTCTCAGACTAACCCTGTGATGTGGAATCCAGGGCTGTGCTTCTGATTCCACTGACAATAGGAATCATATGGGGCTCTTGATAGACTTACAGATTTCCAAAACTTGTCCAGGAATATGTATTGTGAATAGGTTTGTGTCTTTTTCCCAGCTACAAAAATAGAATTTCAGACAGTCTTTACCTGCCTTCAGTTCATATTGATTGTTCCCCACATGACTAAT